ATGGAAAGCTCCTGAATCAACTTGAAGAAGGTGCTTCTGGTGAAAGCTTATCAGGAAAGGGGAATGTGTTTTAGAAATGGGAACATTCTGGAAACACGTTCTCCCAATTTCCCTGTTTTCTATAATCTTATCTTTTATTTTGTTGACCTTATCTTTGATGTTGTTTGGCACTTTTCAGGGACTCGACCTCCAGGATGGATGGCCTTCAGTTGAATGTGCTTTGCAATGATTTCTCCCCTTACTTCGTCTTCTCAGAACTTGGATAATGATTCTGTGTCTTCCTGGGGTTTTTACATATCAGGAGAGAGCTCATGAGTACTCTTCCCTGGGACTCACATTCTATCAAATATATCGAGGGGTCGATGGCCAGCATCTTCCCTTTTACCCCCTCTTCCAAAAACCCACCAACCAGGTTAACACAAAGATTAAGTCTTAACTCTTGATAAATTAGTGTGTTTCAAGGTTCTATGGTGAAAATACATATGCCAAAAGGTTATATAGTTTTAAAATTGTATGGAAGCACATTAATCTGCATTATCTCCCAGCAGCATGGTGATTAATTCAGGGTTGCTGTACACACATTTTAATAAATTATAAAATATCTGACTCACTTCTCTATTTCTTTCTTTCTTCATTATTTTATTTTATTATAAAGGTGACAATTTATGAAATCAGGGTTTTATTGAATGTCAGCTGTAGGTCACCAGTAAAAAATAAGGCCAAGGAACATTTGTTAGATGTCAACATTCATTCATACACAATCCCAAGGATATTTTCTATCTTGTGAGGAAATGGTGATGGTAAATACATATAATGATAGGAGAACTATTTTTCATATCAAAAATGAGTCAGCCAAAAAGGAAATTAAATGTGTTTGAAGAGATGTGTCACTATTACACTTCAAGAAAGTATAACATCGCACTTCTACAAAAAAATTCTCTTGTCCAACTTATTTTAGTATGTCTTTGAAGAGGTGTTATGTGGCAGAGGAAGAAAGTGCAAAAACTGGATAGATTTAAATGTTTGATCCCTGAAAATGAATTAAATCTTGGTCTTTAATGTGATAGGCTTGATGTTTAATGAACCCAAGGGGAGTTCTGTCTATGAGATTAGAAACCTGTCTTCTTTTCCATTGTGTCTCCAGTCCTCGTCATGCGGCACTTAACATTAAATGCTCCATAAATGTATTTGCTGAATTCATGAGTTAATGAGTCTACCTTTTACTTAAGCCATCACCTTTCCACTTGGTCACCATGGAGGCTTCATGGACCTAGACTCTCCCATCAATACCAGTCACCTGCACTGAACCTCCAAGCTGAGCTCTACCAAATCATATACTCCTTAATCGCCACTTCCATTGGTCCTTAAACCATTTTGACTGGTTGTTAAATCCTGCCCACCTGTGCCCTCTTGTAGTCACCAGATTATTTATGAAGGAGGGGTCCTCATGATATTGCCTATCACTCCTGACTCTACATCTGTCTCTAAGGCCTCCAGTGTGTGCACTCACTGGAGGTAGAGGATACCATTGAGTTTGCCACTGGAGGTAGAGGATGCCATTGAGTCTCTAGCTTATGAAGATTTTGCAATCTCAAGGTAATACAAACTGTTGTTTTAATTTTTAAGTTAAAAAATAACAGCTAACATTTTACATGATAAAAGTAGGTTCAGAGGAACTGGATGCAAGAAAAAGTATAGATGGTTTTATGATCAACAATATTTAGGAAAAAGTTATAAACATTGGCTCTGATTCTATTCTGCAACCTGAACAGATTTATTTATTGTCCTGAAGACAAAAATGTTAATATATAACATTTTTGGGACTGCACATACACAAAGCATATAAATATACTCTTATATGTATAACATATATATATAGGTATATCTAATATATGCTATAATATGTTATTTCCACTAAAAAGTAATCTATAAACATATCTTAAAATTTTTTTTTAACATGTAACAAATAGTAATGACTAAGGTCAACTGGACACATAGAGTGTTTCTGATTGGCACTTGGCTTTTCTGTCTTTTTTTTTTTTAAAGATTTATTTATTCATACATACAAGAACCAGGGCACAGGCCAGATGTACAGGAGGGTGAGAGGATTCACCAGAGACAGAGAAGGGAGCAGAACAGGCAAACTGACTGAAATACACTACCCAGGGGAGCAAAGGGCGAGGCAGGAGAGGTTGGCCACACCATGTGGGTATCTCTCCTGCTGGCCGTGATCGAACCCGTGCTGCAGAGACTGTGGACAGCTTCACAGCAATGCGCTCAATCGCCTGCGTCACCAGGGAGGCCCCCAGCACTTGGCTTTTCACCTTGTCTACAGCCTTCTTTAATTGTCAAAAAACTGTGAGGAAGAAATATACAGATCAGGGGAAGGGTTGGTGGGAGTGCAAACTGGTCCAACCACTATGGAGAGCTGTGTGGAGATTTCTGGACCTACTAAACACAGAGCTTCCACAGGATCCAGCAATTCCACTCCTAGGTATTTACCCAAAGAACACAGAAACATCAATTCCAAAGAACACCTGCACCCCTATGTTTATAACAGCACTATTTACAATAGCTAAGCTTTGGAAACAGCCCAAATGCCCAAAAATAGATGACTGGATCAAGAAGATGTGGTACATATATACCATGGAATATTACTCAGCATTCAAAAAAGATAAACACATGCAATTTGCAGCAACATGGATGACGCTGGAAGGGATCATGCTCAGCGAAATAAGTCAGAAAGAAAAAAAAAAATACCGGATGGTCTCACTCATAGCAGGAATCTAGAAAACTTAAATAAGGGACCAGGAAAATGAATAACTATAAGAAAGTGAAAATCAAAATCAACAAAAACTATGAACCAGAGACACTTTTTGGGGGGTGGGGGGTGGGAGGGGAGGGATTGAGGTCAGAATGGGGGGATAAAAAAAAAATAAAGCACTGAAAATACTGCCTTAATGTGGCTAGTCTGTAGTATACTGGCACTGGTATTCAAGGAAGTCAAATCACCCAATCTAGATTCTTATTTTCAAAGTGATACCATCAAACATAGGTTATCCTGCATGGAACCCCACGATCATTTCCTTATCAGCGGTAATACTACAATCATTCAATCTGTTGGTGGTGCGGCAGGTATCACTGTCAGCTAATCTTTCCTATCCCACAGATGTTTTATTGCCTCAAAATATGCAATTATCAAGTGGCACTTAACATTAAATGCTTCACAAATATGTCTTATTGTCTCAAAATATGCAATCCAGAGCACTAAAAATTGGTTAATAAAAAAGGCAGTATACATATTTGGATAAAACAGATCAAAGCAGGATGAAATGCATTAAAATACTAGCCATTTTACTGTTATCAGAGTTTATTATATTTGTGATAACACAGAGTGGACACGTTTTTACAGTGTTTGGGCAATAACTCTGGACATAAAATATTTTTATTTGCGTAGAAGGGTGCTGCTTTGAGAAGGCAGTACTGTGAGATTCTGAATTACTTTTTAAATTTTCTTTCCTTGGAGTCTTGATACTATCCTTGGAGGTATCCAGATGTATGCCTGAAAAGTTTAGTGTAAATTCAACTCTTTGAGAATGAAATGATGCTAAATGCTAATCACTTAAAAGGGCTCCCTAATGAATTATTTTTCTGGGGCAAATAATTACTCATTTTCATTTATTTATTTTCCTACCCCTACCCCCAAATTTTCATTTTCATTTTGGTTCAATCTTGATTATCATCTATTTGATTTACTTTTCCCATATTTGAAGTTATCTGCCATATGCTGGGGAGGCTGCATCAAGTAACCTCTTCATCACGAAAGTCATATATAGACATTCAAGACTGAAATAAACCAGTGAACACCAAATTGGAAGGCAAGTTTCAGAATCCTCAGCATCTCTCTAACCTGAATCTTTAACTTTGGAAAATGATCAAGATAGCTTATTTGAGTCTCTGCTATCATGAAGCAATTGTGGATGAATTTCCATTCAACATTAGAGCAGTAAACAGAGGCTGGTGGGAACAGTGACTTGGCAGATGTGATCAGCAGGCTGGAGTTCTGCTTTTCTCTCAAGTGTTTTGATTTTGGTAAATTGCTTAGCTCCCTTGACCCTCATTTTCTCACTGGACACTTACAGTAAAAATGTCTGCCCTTCATATTTCAGAGTTTATTGGGATCAAATGAAAAATGATATGTGAAAATATTTATTTTATAAAGCACAAAGTGCCTCACAAAATCTAAGTTTCACAGTAAATTCAATTAAGTTTGGAGCCTTCAAAATATTTTCTAGCAAGGTTGCAAGATGAATTCTATTCTTTGACATTCTGTCGTCTTATCTTGGAAGCATTGGCAACAAAGAGAAATCACTGAGAGTAATATTATTATAGTAATCATAATAGAAATGGTTACACACAATCACTATTTATAGTTTGGAGGTTTAGAACCAAGTGAAATATAGATCCCAAGGCGAGCTACCCCAGGAACGTTTGTTGTGCATTCCTTTTTCTCATCTTCTCAGTTCTTTATTTTCTTCAAGTGTTTCTGGATTCCTGTTCCTCTTACTCTAGGCTGGAATTGAACTCAAGGATGCTGGCTTTGATGTGGCATCCTGCTTTGTACTTTTTAGTCAACGTCCCCACCTTCAAAATACAGTATGCCACTTGCTCACAAGTGTGAATAAGAAACTAGGGAATTAACCTTATGAATGGCAAGCATTGAACAAGTTCCTATTAGTAGCTTAATTGAAAGAGGGATTCATGGGAGGCTTGACATTGATGTTACTGCATCCTAATGAGGTTTGCTATGGCGAGAACCTTCAGAGCATTTTCCTACAGAAAGGAAATGGAATGGCCATGATTTGGGCTTGTAGGCTGCATTATATGATTTAAATAATGGGTTAAAAATTGACTAGATGCCAATGTTTAAAAATATAAAGGTATGAAGTTTTAACTTTTTGACTTCTCTTGAAATAGCAGAACATATACCAACACTGCGTTCTCCATGGTGAGAATAGCTGCACTGAAGGGCAGCTGGTTCCTTCAGGAGGGCAGGGCGTGTCCATGTGCTGTGATCTCCACCTGTTCCACCTCATTTATTTATGTAATCTCTATAGCCCTGGTAGGAACTGGGTTTGTGATCCTTGTTAAGCCCACAGAAATAACCTAATTAAATCCTATCTCATAACCAGTTAGTCATGGGTGAAATCATGGACAGATGGCTTAAGGTGAACGTGTGAACGTATGTTCCTGATGTTTCCCTTATTTCATTAGCTATTTTGCTAGCATTTTAAACAGTCTGATCACATGTCACACAACAAAACTAGAACAACAGTTTATAAGGGGATCATCACGAGTTTTGTTGAACTCTTTACTTTTAAGTTCCAAATGAAAGCTGCCTTGAAGTTCGATCTGTAGTTCAAAGAAGAATTTCACCAGTTCAGTAAATGTGAATTCTAGGCATGTTCCTAGCCCCTGCTTGACATACTTCTGTGATGAGAGAATACCAGTTAGGGACTTCTGGTGTGAGGGACTTAGAACATACAGTTATGGGCAGTAAAGGGTTTTCCACAGAATGTCACCATGAGTGATACATTAGAATGAAGGAAAAAGAGACAGAGATTTGGGGTTGGCAACACGTGAAAGCTACTAGAGTTGTCTGAAGGCTCCCCAAAGCCCTTCCTTCATTCCCCAGGCTTAACGAGAGGGAAGCTGACACATCAAAGACAAAGAAAAATGTAGTTATAGGAATAGCAGGGAGACGATTTAGCTGGAGTATTATAAATTATATTTTTTGGGAATAGACTCTTTTTTTCCATTTCTGAAGCTCCTATTTCTCCAAATCAGGGAGTTAATACTTCAGGATCTGGGATTAAGTTATGGACAATTGTCTGGTATTCTTAGATGACTTCCGTGAAGACAGTAGATCAGAAGCAGAAAGAGTGTGATTCCATGTGGTCTGGAGTAGACCACTCACTGTTCACATGGAGGTTTGGGGCTGAAGTATTTCTGTCTGTGCAAACAAGAGAACTTTGCAACGGTGGCTGTGGCCGGGTTGGTGACAGGTCAAAACTTGGGGATTTTGACTTCAAAGGCAGATTGTATCTCTATGTTCCTTACAGAAACCTTCCATAGACCTGGCAGCTTTGGGCAAGTCTAGGGTAGCCTTATCCTCTCCAACCAACTATTCAGTTGTCCCTGGGGTTATATAGAGAGTGGTTTAGAGCTCTAGAGAAAGGTAGCATTTGAGACACACACAATCCCCTCCTGCAAGGCTAGTTATTCAAACTCTCCAGACCTTGTAACCTGGTGAGCTATTGACTCAGTAACATCATGCACAAAAATGTCCAACTCTTCAAAGAAGAGCATGGCAATGGAGATTCTGAACCTGCCTTTAGCCTTTCTTACTTGAGTCTTATTTTAGCATCTTAGGAAGAAAAGCATGGATAAAAATAACTGCCATGGTAGTCACAGGGAAGTGACCCACGTGGGAGGCTACTTTTTCTTCTTGACAAACTCACAGACAAAATACATGGTCAGGTGGCATTCGGTGTCGTTCCACCGGCCCGAGCTCAGCATCTCCACACAGTCCTCGTGGCCATAGGGGTCGCTGGGTTCCCCCTCCCTCCAGTTGCTGTAGTTCTGCAGCGGGCTGTTGTCTGTGAACACATACTGCCCCTCCTTCTCAAGGTCGTTCACCCCGATGAACACGCGGAAGAAGCCACTCTGGGCCACGTAATCAGCTATGAGGGCGTTGGAAGCCTGGTCCTTGGGCATGGCGAGCCTTCCACCGCGGATCCGGCAGTGGGTCAGGGACTCTCGGTAGTTCTTTTCCTCCTGCACGATGTAGTAGAATTTCTCCTCCGTTTCCCTAATGCCTGCTATGACTTTGCAGAGAGGAAAAGAGATGATTATGTATCTCTAAAAGAGAAAAAGCTAGTATGTGATATTGCTAGATTTCAGTTCATTTCTTCAGCACTCAGCAATTATTGGCAAGGCCCTACGAGGAGGTAGGCACTGGTTTAATATTTTTACTGCCTTTTTAGTTATCAGAATAAACTCATCATGTGTTCTCTCTGCTTTCATCATCACTTCCCATGCAACTGTGAAGCAGGGTTATTTTAATAGACTCGTTATATGAACTACTACCCAACTCACCTCACATGATTTCCCTCACCCTTTCTTTATACTTCTGCCACAATTCCATTCACACAAACACACCCTTTCTTCTCTCCTCCACTTCATACTGTCCATATCTGGGATGACTTCTCATTGGTTCTTTGGAAAACTTCCTCTTCCTACACAACTCCTTAAACATGTTTTCTAATGCCCCTGGACAGACTTGGGGGACCCTGTGCACTTTCTCCATATTTTTCCCCTGCCCCATGGACGTCATCTTTTTTTTTTTTTAATAGAGGCATATTTTATTTGTTTGTTTGTTTTGTTTGTTTATACATGCACTGAGTACAGTCAGAAGCACAGGAGGGTGAGAGAATTCACCAGAGCCAGAGCGGAGGGCAGAGCAGGTAGAAGGACCGGAGTACACTGCTGAGGGGAGCAGCGGGCGGCAGGAGAGGTCTGCGCGCCATGTGGGACCCTCCTCTGGTGGCCGGGGAGCAGCCGGGGATCGAACTGGTGCCGCAGAGGCCGCGGGCAGCTTCGCAACCCAGCGCTCAACCACTGCACCACCAGGAAGGCCCTGGACTTCATCTTTATAGAAGTCAGCTTATTTTGTACTGATTCCACCATTTTGATTCCACTCAACTGTGAATGTCTTCAAAGGGCATGGCCATGTTGTTGCTACTCTGTAGCCTCGGTGCCCACAAAACTGCAGGGGATGGTAAAAAATATACTATCCTGACATGAAAAGAATACAGAATTTTTTCTACTTTGGGCCAAATTCCTGGGCTGTAAATGTCTAATGATTGAGATTGCCTATACTTCACTCTGCAGACTGAACTGCAGAGTAAGTTTCAAGACAGAATTAACACTCAGAATCATCCTGAGCTTATAAAATGGAATATATATTTGGGGGGCGTGCATGTACATTTGAAGGTGCACAAATTATTCACAAAGAAATCTTTGAGCACTCAGATGTTAAGAACAATTGCTCTGTGTTGAACCTCTGGGATCTGGTTTACTCACAAGAGTCCAAGTTGAAAACAGCATCTTTGGTAGAAGTTATAACCGGAACTATAATTAAAGTTTAGCTAATGTCAATTTTTTTCTTTGTTTCTAGAATTAAAAGGTGAAGATGAACACAAGGTGGCATCTGTGTGCTTCCAATAATGTACAACAAATATAGCTGGATTACGATAAATGAATCCAGTTGTGAGAATAACCCCACAAGTTCCCCCATTTGAACTGTCTCAAAAGGGAACATATAAGCCCAACTTTAAGGACTTCACCGCTGACTATCATGGGAAATGGACAAGAGATAACAAAAATGAGTAATATGGGTAGCTGCAAAATTTGGAGAAAAACATCATGTTGCAGTTTGTACTGAGGGTGGAGGAATCAGTAAAACCTGTACTGAAATCCCTGTTCATTCGTTGTTTATCTCTGGACAAGGTCATCTCTCTAAGCTTCAGTTGAATTAGTTATAACAATAATAATTATTATTATTCCAAATGCTTGTTTTTAATATTACATCCATCTTTTGCAATGCTTGCTCAGTTTAGTTCTTGCTGTCCCTTTTTATTCTTAAAGTACCACAGCTTGCCTAACTCTGCCTTTTTTTTCCATTCCTCTTTCTTTCAGGAAAGCACTTCTTTCTTACCCCCAGGGAGTTCATGTATGTCTGAATCTGTTATAGAGCAAAAGAGCTGAACCAAGAAGAGGAGAACCTGTTTGCCTTGTCTGTAGGGTTCCAGAGACCTCCAAAGAAGGTGAGGAAGCTTGCCTCCATTGGCAGGACTGGACAACCCAGCCAACGAAAATGCCCTGGTACCCTCGAGAAGAGGAAAGCCCAGGTGGAGTCTGATGAGACCAACTTTATACCTGAAGCCTACATCGACTGGATGCCACCGGTTCGCTCTGATCCTGTATGGAGTATTTCAACAAAGCCAGCTAAAAATTGCTGTTAGTTATTTCTGCCCTGTGATTTTATGCAAAAATAGGAAAAATGGTTTAAAAGTATATTTAATTTATAAACTTTTGCTATCCTGTTAAAGTTTGGGATCAAGGTTGAGAGAATTCGTTTTTGCATAAGTTGAACCATTTTAACATTTATTTCCCTTTGATTTTGATATATTTGCTATCTTGTTTTAGCCAATGCTCCAAATTTTTTTTCTTTTGGCTTGGATAATGGACTATTTTTAAGTAATAAAACTGTCATACTGGACATTCATGGACAATGCTGCTGACTAATTGTTGCTTCTCTTACACACATTGTAACCCTGAAAAAAAGACTGTCTCCTAAGATTACACCATGAGATCTGTGCCACCATAGATATGGTGGAATAAAAATTAAAAGGGGGGATTGTAACAGGGTGGTCCCCAGGAAAGGGGGAGGTTCCCTGCCCCACCCAAGGGAGGGTGGAGCTGAGCAGGAAGAGGAGAAGCTGCAGAAGGGACTGAGGAAGGAAGCAGGATGGAGCCAGGAGACCTGGAGGAGGCGCATGGAGCCTAGAGACACGTGAAGAAACTGCGCTTGTCTTTTGGTCGTGGACTGGGTGACACAGATGTGGGTGAGAGACCCGTGGGAAGGTGACATGGTGGTTTTTGTCTTGATTTTGATTTCGCTCTTTTCCTTCCAGACTTGTCTGGTTGTTTCTGATCCTTTTCTGTGGGTCCCCACTGGAAGATGCTTTAGACTTGTGGCAGGCTTTGGGGCCTTGCTCTGGGCCAATCCCATCTGGATGGAGTTTTACCCACGAGGGGATGGGTAACTTTGGGTGCTTCATTTAGAAACTAGACTCTTTGCCTTTCCTGTATTGTTTCCTAGTTTTATTAAAGTTCCTTCCCATTAAAGTCTCATGTTTTGTGTTGATGCGGCGGATGGCAGAACCCATTTAGAATAGGCAGGTTTGCGGGGTTTGGGCTGCCCCTCTCCCTGTCCTATAACAAATCCATGTGGTGGAACTGAAGTGTCCTAGACGCTGAGTGGGTAATTAGCATTTCAAGAGACTAATGGCACCATCTCAGTAGACTTTTGCCCAATCCTAGGTATTTTCTCCTGGGAATCTGGGAATTGTAATGTTGAAAGACATTCAAGCAATTGGTAAATAATGCAAAGCAAAAGAGAATATATTTACCATTCTTGACGAACTTCATAGATGTCTTTAGGCGAGCAACGCTAATATCCAGTTGTCCAACTACTTTCCGGTACCTTCCACAATCACAGACAGTGCCTTTGAAAAGACAACAGCTGTGAATTCATGTGAAAGCACAGGCAGATCAGTTAAAAAGAACAATTACTCTCTGCCCAGTATTTAGTATCATTTTTAAACTAGTTATAGCTCTCTGTGAATGGCTATATTTTTAATCTTTCATTTAAAGAAGGTTTCCAGTTTACATGGTCTTAAGGGATTCTGAAAACATCTTTTAAAATATTTTGAATAAATGAAAAAACACAGTTGTAAACCAGAATTTTAAGAAGAGTAAATATGACAAACCACTGTACACATATTCTGGACCATTTGGCATGTTTTTTTTTGAACACAGAATGTGCCTCTCCAATCTCAGAATAAAATCTTTACAGCTTCCTTAAAACATTTCCAGCCAGTCTTCTCTTGTTTCTGTATTGTTTATGGACTCACACAGCTCTCCCAAAACAGAAGTCTTTTCATGAAATTCAAAGTTAATTCTGATTTTCCATTTGGAGTATAACTTAAATGTTTTAAAAACTGAGTTTCAATCTTGCAAATAGGCCCAACTTACACTTTTGAGAACCAGTTGGTCCATTTGTGGATTAAGAACAATTTTAATTTCTGCCACTCATCCCATTCACTCTTTACCTTTTCCATCTTACCTACTGCTATTTTGACAGAGAAGGCAGTAAGGAAAATTATGTGAAATTCAAATGATTCTATTTTTTCTATTTGATGGCTGCTTCTCATGTAAACATTTCTTTTTTTTCCTTTGGTGGCTGAAATATCAGCCAAAGGTGGGGGCGGGGGGAATCTGTGGTTGTACTTGTCCACATTCACAGTTAATTATAGAGAATTCAAAACAGTTCTTAGAATGGTCTTCACTACATCCTTGTGGATAGAAATGACTGAAGGTGTCCAAGAACAATCTACTTTCTTTCTCTGCATGTAGCAGTGAAAAATCTCTCATCACTCAGGGAGAAGCACTGGCTCCTGGAGGCATGTTCTGTCACCATGGGGACTTTCTGAATCTGCCCAGTTTGTGTCTGGCAAATTGCTGGCCAGTATTGGGTTGAGATGCTGGTGGAATGTCAAGCATGTTGACTTGGTTCTGTTGCTGAGGCCCTTGGGGAATTTCCTCTTGGTGTATAGGAGTGAGGGCTGCTGCCTGATTTGTTCTTTGTCTCCTCAAATAAGCAAGTAAGCCTCAAGTAAGCCATCACCTCACCTCAGAGGTTGGAAAGTCGCCAGGGGGCATAACAGAAATTTCCCTTCTTCCTTTCCCTAAAAATTAAGCACCCTAAACAAAACTCTAATTTTTCCATAGGTTTTTATTTTTTGTGACATGAAAACATTTAGAATAATGCTAGAAGTTAAGTAGAAAAATTTGCATATCATACCTGCTTTGCCTTTCCCTCCAGGCATTCCAGGCAAACCCTTTTCCCCTTTGTCACCTGAATAAAAACAACAGCCATGCAAAAAACAATTAACGATGAATTATTTTAGGTAGATAATAGCTTATTCGCTTAAATTCAGAGGAAACAGGTTTTAAATTTTATTTGCAATAATCTCCAACTAACATTCCTTGATTTTATATAAATAATTTGATTTTGAGTTTGTTGCCCAGATACAACTAATCAAACAAGTGTAATTTATTTCAATTGAACTTAGAGCAACTTTGTGTAAGAAACATTTCAATTTGTGTCATTTGTCTTAAAAATGTTTTTATGATGTAGCCTTCTGAGCAAGGCTCATGCAATCCTCTGCATGTTTTTAGTTTTAATATCATTGTTTTGTATATCTGAATCAATATCTCAATATATGATCAATATCTGATCATATCTCAGTGTCTATGTATTTGTTACGTCTCCATGTTCTTCCAGCTGGCTTTGCCCTTAGATTTTCAAACACATGTAGTATGTTTTTAAATTTAATTCAGCAAATATTTACTATTTTCTTTCTCTCTGCCATACAAAATACTTGATACTTTATAAAAAGGATTTATGGGGCCTCCCTAGTGGCTCAGTGATTGAGCGCTGGGTTGCAAGGCTGCCCGCGGCCTCTGCGGTGGTGGTTAAATCCCCGTCCACAGGGCAAGGGTCCCACATGGCGTGCAGACCTCTCCTGCCTCGTCCACTGCTCCCCTCAGAAGTGTGTTTCGTCGGTCTGCCTGTTCTGCTCCCCGCTCTGGCTCTGGTGAATTCTCTCATCCTCCCGCGCTTCTGCCTGTGCCCAGTGCTTGTATAAATAAATAAATAAATCTTTCTTTTTTTTTTTTAAAAAAAAGGATTTATGAAGAATGACATGATTTCAACATCTGACTTCAAGGAATTTGATTGTTTCAGAAGAGATGTGATGTATGCAAATATCTATAATACAAAGTTGTGTCAAATACACTACATCAAAATATCAACCTTGACAGTTTTCCCTTTTCTTCTTCTTGTGTATGATCTTTTTCTTATCACTGAGAGGCAGCCACAAAATAATACTTGGAAAATCAGGATCATTAAAACAAAAGAGAAAAATGGTGACTTTTTTCAACTTTAAAATCAGTGTTTGAAACACAGATCAGACGCTATAATTGAAAGCAAAGCCTTTGATTTACAAGAGGAAATGTGTGGCTGCTATTCTTGAGATCAAAAGAGAAGACTCTGATAGAAGTAAAATAGAGTTTATGTTTGACTGTTGATCTGGGAAGAGAAAATAAAGCTCTCAAGAAGAATGAATAAAGATGATCATTCAAGCTAGAAAAAGAGTATGGGACTTAACCCACATTGCAGCTGGTGTGACCAGAGAATTGCGGGTATATTAACTAGATGGAGACAAGTGAGGGAAATGAGGACACAAGGAGCTTCTGCCTAACCCCATTCTTTTTTTTTTTTTTAAAGATTTATTTATTTTTATACAAGAATTGGGGTACAGGCCAGAGATGCACGGGAGGGTGAGAGGATCCACCGGAGACAGAGCAGGGGACAGAACAGGCAGACTGACGAAATACACTGCTGAGGGGAGCAGCGGGCGAGATAGGAGAGGTCTGCTGCACCATGTGGGATTCTCGCCTGCTGGCGGGATCGAACCAGCACTGCAGAGGCTGTGGACAGCTTCACAGCATGGCACTTAACCACCTGCACCACCAGGGAGGCCCTCTAACCCCATTCTTTACCAACAAAAGGGGAAAAAGTGGAAGCCACTCCGGCCCTATTTCTGGGATGCTGATTGAATTAGCATCACTATGTAGGTCAACTTGAGGATTATCATAAGAATACCAATCATCTTAACACTATTGAGTTTCTTAATCTGTGGGTATAGTTTTACCTCCATTTCCTCAGATAGTCTTTAATTTTTCATTATCATTTTGTAGTGTTTGTTTGGAAGGTTTATGTCTTTTTTTTTACACATGTTCTTAGATCTTTAATAATTTCAATGCAAAACTGATTTTTATATAGAAATTGTCAAGAAACAATACAAATAGCTAATCTGTAGATTTTTTTGTATTTTATGTTAATGCAATAATGTCATCTACAAATAATGTCCCTTGTAATTTTTCATTTCCTATTATTATGACCCTGATCTCTCATTCTTGCATTTTTACTTAGATTGGAACCTCATAATAATATTGATTAGAACTGGTGATAGAGGATTAGCTCATTCCGTTCTTAATTTCAAGAGAGAGGTGACTCATATTTCATTAAGTACGATTTTAAGCAGGATTTTGTTGGTGGTATTCGTTTTCATATTGAGTATGCTTCCTTCTTTTTCTAGTTTGCTAAGATTTTTTTAAACATGAATTTGTGTGCATAATTTAAAAATTTCAGAATTTTTGCAGTTATAACTGGAAATTTCCATTCCTGAAATGAAAAAAGAGTAGTGTTTTCCAAGACCACTTCTCTTTGGCAGGTCTTGAAAACAAATTGTTTCAACAACTTTCTGCTCAAGCCTCTTAGTCTTGCCTCTCTTATGGGTTGGTAAATGACTTGAGAGGAAAAGTAGAACAGATTCTAGAGGTTAGAGTTTCTATACATGACTCCCTTCTCTTCCAGAACATGGCCCCTAATATCATATTCAATTTGGTAACCCTTTTTTGCCTTTAAATTTTTTTTGACTCAGTTAATCATTTTTTAGCAGAAGGGTTAAGGTAGGTGACTCTTTCGTAGCTTGTAGCAGAAATCTGAACTTTTTCATCAACTTCCTTTAACCTTCACAAAATTTTCTTTTTCACAAATTATGTTTTCACATTAAGAATATTGTCCAATTTAAGAATACCTCTGTAATGTCTTTTTCATCTATGAGCTGTTAGATTTGGAAAAAAATTTCCACAGCATAGCCCTGGCTCTGTTCCTTTGAAGCCTGTTTCTTTTCCACCAGAAAACAGGCTTCCCTGACACATTCATGTGTGTCCCTGACGTACTCATGTGATGCTCTGACCTATGACCTTGCACATTTTCATCATGAGTCTAGATAGATCTGCACAGCCAGTGGTAGGCGCATTCTTGGAAGCCACTCCTGCATTGGAATTGTTAGTAAAAACTTAACTGTACATGGAAGTAACTACAAACTACATAAATATACCCTGCTAAGTCCAAATGAAATATTTCCCCACTGAAGTTCTTAACTAACTCCCAAAATACTTGTGTCCAATCCAAAAAGCATTTGATACGAGGAAAAATGTGATGGATGGAAGTGGAAGCAGAAGTAGACATCAGTCCTAACCCACACATTCTCAGTGGGGACAATAACATCTCAAGGATGTAATAGTTGGTTCATGAGGGGTGAAAAAAAAAATCTGTTCTTTTAATACATATATCTTTTATACACATATAAAGACCATAAGCATGCACATAATGCACAACAGATAAATAGTCCACAGGGTATTAAATTTTTGTGGGTGACAATTAGAAAATACAGAACTGTAAAGGCTTGTTAGAGCGGCAATAATTTTCTGAAATACATCATTTTGAAGAGGTAATGATATTGATCTATAGCACTGTATATGATTTAGGGGTATAAGGTTCACACCTCCTCAGATGTATGTCACCACACCCACCACCAACGCACCCATAGTCCTCTACCACGGTCCACTGGATCCTCTCTGTACTCCTGACCCCCATCTCAATTCTGCAGCCAGATTTCTAGGACATATTTTGTTTTATTTTTGTCTGTTTCTTTGTTCCGTTTCTCTATAGTCCACATATAAGTGAAAGCATATGGTATTTGTCTTTTCCCTTCTGACTTATTTCACAGAGCATCATCTCTAATATCTCTAATTCCACTTAAGTTGTTGCAAATTGCAATCTTCCACCTTCTTTTTTATAGATGAGTAGCAGTCCATTGTGTATATATACCAGATATTCTTTTTTTATAATTTATAAAGCTTTTATTTTATTTATTTTTTTGTTTTGACCATTATTATATTACTTTTTAAAATTTATATATTTTTTACATCATTTTTCATTTTTGCACAATGTACGCATTTTCATCTTGGTTATATTCTCCATACAATTCCCACCCCCCTTATTTTGACCCTAATCCTTCCTCCTCCCCCCCCACCAGTAGTTTGTTCTAGTTTATAGTTGCTTGTTGATTTTGATTTTCACTTTATTATAATTAGTCTTTTTTCCTGGTCCCTTATTTAGGTTTTCTAAATTCCTGCTATGAGTGAGATCATCCGTATACCAGGTATTCTTAACACACTCATCTCATCCGTCTCTGGGCACTATTGAGCAGCAGTTGATGTTAAAATACCTTATTTACAAATTTTGCCAAGACATGGTTATATGAACTCATTGTTAAGACTCTTCTCGGGGCCAGGGGAAGAACTCAGACATGTGGTGCTCTGAAGCTAAACTTCATTAGCTTTAGAGTAAAACCACGAGAGACACAGTACAGCAGGACTTGTGAAAGTCTAGAGGGTAATTAATGTTGCAGAAATTCCGTTACCCCTGACTACGTGTCTTGTGAAGCTGTGCTGAAAACCCAGTCTACAGACTGCAAAGACACTAGTCTGGAAACCCAGTGAGGAGAGCTATCAGCAGCACCATAAATGCAAGCCACCCCCAATTATCTAAATCAAAGGGAAGAACAGTCACAAAGAACTGAATGAGTAAATAGATAGAACCAGAAAACTCTGGGCAAAATGGCAGTAGCAGACTCTCATATCTCAGTAATCACCCTAAAGCTCAATGGACTGAACTCACCAATCAAAAGGCACAGAGTGGCTTGTTGGATCAGAAACAAAACTCAACTATCTGCTGTCTCCAGGAAATGCACCTGAGCTCCAAAGATGGAGGTGCAGAGTAAACGGTTGGAAAAAAATCCAAGCAAATGGGACCCAAACACAGGCAGGGATACCCACACTTATATTATATAAAATAGATTTCCAGCTAAATAAGGTAACAAGAGAAAGGGATGGACACTATATTAGGTCACAAAACAGCATCAGTATATTCAAGAAGATTGAAAGCATGTCAAGTGTCTTCTTGGGTCACGATGATATTAAATGGCGACATATAACTCATACCTCTAAGTAATATAAAATATTATAAACCAATGGAACTCAAAAAACCCAAAAGCCCTGAGAAAAAATTCTACCGGAGAATAGTAAAATAGCAGAGTACAATCCCACTTACCCTTCTTGCCAATGGGCCCAGTCTTCCCAAGGTTGCCTTGATCTCCTATATCACCCAGATCTCCCTTAATTCCTGCAAAGCAAACCATGTCGTCTTTATATCCTAGGATTTTATCTTTCCATGAAAGATGTGGTCATATAAGATATTCACCTAAAATCACTATCCAAATGTTTATTTTCTATCTATGATATTTAATATGTACCCTATGCTAGTTATCTATTTTTGAGAGTATTACAAAGTATCTATTCAAATTAAAATTTGAGTGAGTATGACAATCCAGGACCTGATGATATTAAATCCCTTTCTGATGGAGTATTTCTAAAAGGATTATAGCAGATGATTTATCCCAAGGTCAGATAAGCAGCTGAATGAAAGAATTATTGCATTCTATTCTAATTCTCTTTCTCTTTAGTTCATTTTGCTTTCATTTTGGGATTCTATCTCCTCTCTATTTTAAAACAAGATTTGACTGTCTCTGACACTTTAAAAGAGGAGAAAGAACACACAAATCATAACCTAGTGATCAAAGGACATCAGAGATTGTCCCACTGAGACTTTATTAATAAAAAAAATCTCAGATCACCAAGTCCCTGCAAAATTGTTATTAAGTTTGTTTTTTTCTATGATGGTCTAAATAATATTAGCCCATTATAAAGCAATATTTTTATAATACTTTTACAATTGATTATATTTATCGACTAAGAAGAATTTAAATCAGCATTTCTTGAATTGAGAGCCCAAAGACCTATGAGGCTATTCTTCTAAATTATTGAAGAATAAAAATGAATAAAAATACTTTGGTTTATGATGACCAACTTGTAGGGCTTGGCAGGCAATTCTAGAGCTTGGAAGACATGTGCTTATGCACCACAGTCCAGGAGCTGTATTTTGGCAAGAATTACTCTTAGTTTTGAGAGTAAAAATATTGTCTACTAGCCTTGCCTTTATATTTTTCTCATCTTCTTTCTTTCTACTCTCTTAAACACCCCCTTTGCCAAGAGTTTTAGAAGAGGGTAAGCATATCAATGGATCTGACAACTTTTCATACTCCTTCCGAGTGTCCTCATCACACTCAAGGTAACACAAAAAGAGCTACTTAGCAGCCGCTTCAGATGGAAGACAGCTCTGAATATAACTGTGTTTCTGAAACTCATAGCTGCTTGGACATCTCCCCAGACCCTGCTATTCCCAGGGATCCTAGTACCCATCCCTGCCAATTAAAGTTGCCACTTGAGAAAGGTGCTCTTGTCTTATTGATAGGTGATCTCATAGGAACTCAGTGGTGGCAAGTAAATTCCTTTCTGCAATGGATTTCATGCATCTTTGAAGCTGAGGGTATCAGGAGAGCCACTAAGTGTCAGGGAAACCAGTAGAGAGAGACGAGCAATTCTAATGTTATAGTGTCAATTTTTACCTACCTTTTGGTCCCATGCGCCCCACTTTGCCATGCTTTCCCTCCTCTCCTGGATCTCCTTTTTCACCATCATCTCCTTTTGAAATGAAAAATGAGAGTTAAGCAGCTCAAATGGTAACATATGCACGTGCTCTGCAGGTTAGGGGGCAAGATTGCAATCCATCCCTCCAGCAGCACTGTGAGTCTGCCATGACTTTGTGTGAAGGCCATGTGGGTTGGATACTTGGCAAGGAGAAGAAACTCCCAATATATTTTCTCCACACCCAATTCTATGTTCATAGAAATGCTGCAGGGGCATCCCAAAGTATTTCATTTGGCCTGACAAATCTTTATTCTTGCTGGAGAATCAGGCAAGTTCTGTATGTATGTATATATGTATATATATATATATATATTTCAACACACAGGTCTATATACTACATATGAGACATAATATTTCATGTATCTGTTCATAAATTATTATTCAAATATATAAATTAGATAAATATATTCATGTAAATATATATGATATTCATGTAAATATATATTTATATACCAGTGTTTATATATTGTAATCCCCCTTATCTGTGGAGGGTATGTTCCAAGACTCTCCATGGATGCCAGACTGCATACAGTGGTGAATTCTATAGATATGTGTTTTTCCTATATATACATGATTATAATGAAGTTTGCCATGTAAATTAGGCACATAAGAGATTCATAATAATAACTGATATCAATTAGGACAATATATGTTGTTCTCTCTCAACATATCTTTATTTTTAAAATATCTCTTGTTATGTAATATTGTTGGATGTGTTATTTTTGGACTATTGTAGGTAAGGGAGGAAGTACTATATATAAATTAATGACTGACTGCATGTATGGGGACCCAACACCTTAGGCATGGACTGGGAAGTTAAGGACAGAAAATTAGCTAGAACTAAGGGAAGAGTTGCAAGACACTTCTGTGTGTGCCCCAACTATCTCAGTCAAGGGCAGCTCTAGCCTTAGCACTGTGTCCAGTCAAGAAGGACTGAATGAATGACTAATAAAAAGAGTCCTTGGACTGGAAATCAAGAGGTCTGGATTTGATATCATGATGGCCACAAACTGGGCTGAGCAAAGTCTCGGATGTCAGTGATTGGTTTTATCAACTTTGGAATAGAGAGGGCTCTCAGGAAGTTTAAATTAAAGATGATATATATGAAAGACCTAGACCATGATTTGTGCTTAGCACTGGTGGCTAACATTCCTTCCTCTACACTTCAGTTTCCTCATCCATTACCTGGGGATAATAACTGCCCTCCTGTCCTCTCTCAGTGTTTTTGGATCAACAAGATGAGCATCTGAATGTGCTTTCAAAATAAAGAGCAAACGTATACACAACATTATGACCAACTACCTACATAATCACCACATTAATCTCAGTATGTGAAGGAATCCTACCAATCAACAGAAGAAAGATGAAAAACTTCAGAAGATAAAAATGAACTTCCTGGGATTAGACAGTTTGGGAGAGAAAGTTGAGATTTTCATTTATTTCTCCAGAATAAAAGCATGACCAACTATTCTCTCTCTCTCTCTCTCTCTCTCTCTCTCTCTCTCTCTCTCTCTCGCTCTCGCTCTCTCGCTCTTTTGAGAATAGAATCTTATTATCTTTAATGATAACATTAGCAAACTATGCAAGAATTGCTTTTCCAGGTTGTGGTATTGACCAAACATTGAAATACATAACACGTGAAGTTCTAGAATCTCCTTTTGGGAAACGAATTCAAAACAGGATGCACAGATGATTTGTGTGACCAGATTAGATGGGTGATATAGGTGGACCAGGTGGCATTTCTTTACTTAAAGTTAATAGTGACTGTTTATTAGAAATTGCAGTGTGTGCCTGCACTGTGCCACTGTAGGCATCATAGCAATGGTAGGATGAGGGGACCATGATTGTGTCATTTTATGAATGGAAAAACCGAGACACAGCAAGAAGGATGGTTATTTGCCTTTTGTCATAGAGCTTGTGAGTGGTAGAACTCAGCCAGCACCACACACATCCACAACACACATCACTGTTCTTCCGGTTCCCTGATAGCAAGTAACTGTTCCCTCCAGCCTAAACTTCTGTGACTCTTAGCAGATTATTGATTTTAAAGAATTTGACACTGTGCTAAAATTTGCAGGGATGAAAACGGAGATGCAGAAAGAATGACACATTTTGTTTCTTTTTAGATAAGAAAGACAGTGGGAAAGAAAAAAACAGGGAGCTTATTATCTCAATAACTTAATTCACAGGGAATATATTTTTGAAATAGTTTAGTACAACTGAGACTGGCATAGCCAACTCACTACCTGAGGGATCTTGGAATGTTCTGGAGCTTTGATGAGTTTTGTTTTGTGTATTTGTAGATTGGATAACATACTACCCTTTTATTTTTTTTTTCAGGGGGACAGTATTTTCCTCCTGGAAGCCTTCTCCAAATTTTCCTAATTGTCTTCATTGTTCAAAATATCACTTTATACTGAGTCAGTTTATTTATGCTCTCCCTTATATTTATCTGTGACCTGTGGGATGGCTGGAGTCACTCATGATTTATTCCAACATACCCCAAATTGAGCACAATGCCTCACTTAGGTGCCTAATAGAGTTGAATTGTATATACAGAATGGGCCATAAAATTCTTTACAAATTCAGTAACCATATTTATTGAGTACTATGTGTCAAAGCCATCCTATCATTTGATCTCCATAGCAACCTAGGAGATGGATACTTTCCTTAGCTCCATTTTACAGATGTGGAAATGAGGTCAAAAAGAGGTCAAGTAACTTCCCAGAGTTAAATAGCTCATAAGGAATAAAGTCAGGATTCAAACCAGGGCATTTGCCTGCAACATCAAAAAATATTTTGAACAGGCTGTATGATTAGGAACAAATTCCCGCTTCTCAGATCATTATTCTGTACAATGGGGCTAAATATGCATTTCCTGCTCAGCCGAAGGCAAGATCAAAAGCAAGGCTGTGTGCGAAGCTTTTTGTGACTCATAAAACCACACGGATGTGAATTATTGGTGCCATAATAATTTCTCATCTGTCTCCTCTTCCTATGAGGTTTCCTATTCATTGTCAAGCAAGTGTCTGACTAGAGGCAGCCAGATGAATGACTAAGTCATCTGCTGCTCTCTGGTGGCTCCTGATAGGGACCTGGGAGGATGAAAAGAGAATTATTTTTCTTCTGACCTGTGTGCCTGCATCCCAGCTTGGTGGTGAGCAGGCTGCTGGCAGAAATGCAGTAAACAGTGTGTGCCCTTGCTTCAGCTTGAGAGCCAGGTTCATTTGATGTTTGGGACTTGCTTTAATGAGAATAGAAGAGAGGTATAAAAGCCAGCTTTGGTAAGGATCCCCCACATGGCTCACAGTTGTCTGCTATTATTCTCTAGGCAATATTTCATTGGATTAGTATGGCAATTTAGACTTCTTTTCTTCCTTTTAAAAAGACCCACATACATTTTAAAATTAAACGAAAAGCTATCAGCTGAAGTGAACTAATTTCAATTTTACAAAAATGATTTGCCGCAGCCCCTATGTCCCCCAGGCCACTAGCTGGCTGTGATAATCTCTCCAGCAGGTTTCCAGCAGAGCACACAGTTGATCAATTTTTCTTAGGCAGAATTTTTCTCCCCAACAACCAAAAAGTCTTTAAAATTGAATTCTGGATTGCACTGAAGTAGCTGAGCCCAGGTCAGTATCTCCTGCTCAAAGGAAGCAATTATTAATTAGTGATTTGACTTTGGAAATGCTAAATAAAATTCACTGAATGCTGCTGTACAGGCTGGGTGGGGGTGGGTGGGTGGGTGCGGAAGTGGTTAGGAATGCATCTGATTAGGTGGTAAGGTGTAATGTATAAATGAGGGTGGGATGTTTGCTTGAATTATATCCTCTCCAACCCTACTTACACTGCTTTAATCTATGTTAATTATATCCTTGTGCACTCATTCCTGGAAATTTCAATAGTCAAATGAATTATTTCCTATACTTCTCATACATACCCAACACATTAGTGTGGACACAGTGGGGTCACCTTTCAGAACTTCTTCCCCAGCCTCAGCCTTATCATTCCATTGAAATATTCCAGCCTCCTTTGGACCTGCACTGTCAGTTTTCTCCCCCTTCAGCCAGCTTTTCAGTCCCTCTGTGCCTTTACTTACCTCCCCACCCATCCTGAATCCCTTCAACTCAATCCCTTCCACACAGATATCCCAGATCTCCCTAAGGCACGTGGTGTTCGTGGCAGTGGTTCTGGAGCTCTGGAGCTGATATTTCATTTCTCTGAGTCTTAGTTTTATCCATAAAATAGAGGAAACAATCCTTAATACATGGATTGTTATGGGTTAAAGGAGACAATGTGCGAAATATGTGCAGCACAGTATTTTAATGAGAACAGGAGGGAAGGATAAAAATAATATCATGATTATCAGACAGCAGCAGCAGCACCAGAAATGACATCCCTTTGTATTTACCATCTCAATTCCTATTTTCTAATTATTATTTACTTGTTTACTTCACTATATGATTTTTTTTTCTTTTCACTATGGAAATTTTCACACAATTAAAGATAGATAGAAGTAAATACATATCCATTGATAACATTTAATAATTAATATGTTGTTGACTCATCTATTTTTACTGAATTTTTAAAAGAAAGTAAATCAGAGATATTGTGACATATCTTTAAATACTTTGGCAAGCAGGTTTAAAAGGGAAGAACAACATCCTATGTAAAAAAAAAGAAAAAAATATATACATATACACACACCATGCTATCAATCTTACTTTTAATGGACTAGAGGCATTTGCTAATGTCACCTTCATCAGCTTTTGTGATCTCATTTATCTTGACTCTATATTGCTGTGCTTATATAATCTAATGAAAAGAGGTCAGCACTTAGAGAACCAGAAATTCAGTTTAGTAAAACTAGGTTCTTTGATAACAAATTATGACAAAAAGTTCCATTTTCTCTTTTGAAAGGATACTAATAGAGCAAATTCTGCTAGGAACAGAGTGCTTGGAAAACAAATGTCTCTTGGTTATTCACTGCAGAC